CCATTTCCAGAAATCTCACGTCATCTTTTAGAAATACCCGTGAAATTCCACTAAAAGCAATATTAAAAGCAAATGGTAGTAAATTTCGAGACCATAAATTCACTTACCTTTTTCGATTGACAGAATTGATTCATGGAAAATCTTTCAACACTGTCCCAAATGGACCGAAATGATTTCTTCCGCCGATTGCCAATGATCAAACCTCAATCTTATATGGTCTGCAGAGTCCGACGTCTTATCATGCTCTGGAAATTCGAACAAGTGGCTGTGAATTTTCCACCTTTGACCACAAATTCCTCCACTTCTCATGTGAAATATGTATTTCTCCAGCCCGAAAAAAAACACTATCAAGTCGCTTTTCTAAATACCTCGTAAATGTTTCCAATTAGCCACTTGTGCAGCGCAATTTCCTCAGCATTACGTGCGCAAATTCACATGGACCAACAAAGAGATAAATGAACTCATTTTCCCATCGCCACACTTTTGCACAACAATGAATATAATCTGTGTGTGCGGTTTTTGGATTGCGCGCGAATGGAAAAATCAGTGCCAACGGGAACAAGTGTGCGAGAAATCAATTACCAAGAGTGGAGAGACACATTTTCTTGCACCAAGAGTGGGACACACTGTTGTCGCGCCTCTCACGAGAGGCGCGCACAATTCTATCATACAAATGATAACAATTTAATGCATTGTTCTCCAGCGAAATGTCATAAGACAAAGGAGAAGGGAAATTGTGATCATTCTGAGATAAATTTCTCTGCCGATTTGCAATGCTGTGAATGCTCAGAAGAAGTCACATCTATTGTGAAAGATGCGAAAGAGAAATTATGAGCGTTTGAAATTGAGTCTACCGAAGCAATATGCAAATAATTCATCAGTCAATTGCCAGAAATCACTTAGTTATTCACCCTTCAGCCCTTCAGAGCATGTTCATTCTGATAGCAACACTCCACGCTCAGACACACAATATATATTAATATATGTAATGCCAAGGGCTGCGGAGGCTCAATGCACACAACATCCAAAACGAAGATAAATTATTTTTAAATTTTCACGTGGCTCGTAAATGTGATAAATGGCACATAATCCAAATTGAAGTCTCCTTTCTTCCTTCATGTGACATCTCTCTTTCCTATTATCATCCTTCTTCGGGGCCCCTTTTCCACTCCTCTCGCCATGGGATTTGAGAATTCTATTCATAACATCCCTCTGAAAAGGTATTTTGCCCTCACTTCGATATACACGATAAATAAAAGATGCTACACGAAGATGCTCCCTCTTTTCATGCTCACGATGTGTGTGTGTGTGCGAAGGTGAGAAACGAAAATTCCAATCAAACAATTTCACACAAGATCATTTTTCTTTCACTCTCCGTGCAGTCGGAAGACGAACTCCTCTTTCGCTGTGATTTGCATAGGAAGAATGTCTAAATGAGGTAAATATATAGAACAATATCAAGTGCTGTGAAGCTGCCGAGCGCAGACTTTTGTAAGTGAAACTCCGCCAGTGGATGGAAGAAAGAATTCTGGATTATCTATTTGATGCGTTCATCTTAAATTTAAATTGAATAACGGTACGCACAGCACTCGAGTTATGCTATATTTATTAATAAAAGAAAACGAAAAAGAAATGCTCTTCTCCCAATATTTTGGCCTTTTCGCCATGCTCGGCTTATAGATACTCTTTAATACGCCTCTAATCTTTTAATTTACCTTCACTGGGATGCTTGAGAGAAATATTGCCGCTCAATTCATTACTATTGAGCTGTGCTTCAGAAATTGTAGGTCATCGTTTGGGTTTTCCTGGGATTTTGGCTTGACAAAAATTCTAATCATTTAGCCAAATAAATCGAGACTTGGCAATCAATGTGATGAAAAGACATCCTCAGCTTTGGAATGATGAATCGATGATTCTCCGTCGACTTGTTAGAGTCTTGTGCCGCGCCATTCATCCGGACAATTGTCACAATTTCGCCGCGCCGCGCGAGAGTCACTTTGCTGGCGATCCGACTTTACAATGGTTATTAGCGGAGGGAGTCACATTACTCACATGTATGAATTTATCTTCTAAATAGAGAGAAATTCGTGTATTAACAGTTAATCTTGGCACCGGCTAACAATACGGAGCAGCAAAAGTCTTTCACGATGCCCATGAATGGGGAACATTGTTTAGGAATCCGATGGTATTACAGACTTCTCCGAGTCATTGCCTCTCGCTGTGGACGAGCGGAGAAAAAGTCTCCGGCCTTTCTTTCGCTCCCTCTTCGCGGCCATCACACAAAAGTGTTCCAAAACGCGAGGCGAGAGAGCGCGATTACAATAAGAAGTTTAATAATAGCAGACGGCAATCACGCAGTTATTGGGATGGCTAAGACGCTGGCAAACGAACACTTTGTCCAGTGCACTTGGCTCTCATGCTTCGCCTCTCTGTCGCCCAAACGGCCAACAGATGCTCTCTCACTCTGTGCCTCACATTAAATGGGAATGCCTCAGTGGACCGTAGAAATCTAATGTAGATCATAAAGTGGGTTACAGAGCGAATTACTAACAGCCATTCCCTCTCGCCACTCGTCGCTGGAATGTTGCCCACAAGAGCGTCCAAAAGTTGTGACCGTAAATTTCAGTTTTGTTTACAATAATCCAATAATTTATATCACTTTGTGAACAATATTCACCATGCAATCTCGCGAGCCTTTCTCCATCGCGCGCGCAATTCAAAGAGAATGCTTGTTTTTTTTCTTCCCCCTCTCCGTCTTGATACACTTCAGCAGAGCGCGCTCGTAATGTGAAAATAAATATCAATCACTCTTAGCTTAAACGACAATGTTGTTCGCCATAGCATCATCACGCTTGAGGACAATTGTCTCCATTGATTTATCAAAATTTTCAATCAACATTAGCAGGTCAACAATTCATTTGGCGCGCGCTTTCCCATTTCGTCCATTAGAAAAAGCCTTTCTCTGCGAAAAATGGTCCAAATAGCAGTTTTTCGAGAACAATACCATCTTTCTCTTCCTCGATTGTGCCCTTTTGAGAAGCATTTCTGGGGGGAAAAACCTCTGGGTAAGACTCTTCTCAGATGCACACTTGTAAGGAAGTGAGATTCATGCTGCGAATTCAAGATAAATAAAGATGACAGAGAAAAGTCTTTTTGATTTCAGAGTTGAGAAACGCTTAAAATCGTACAAATCAAACCATTACTATAGATTTTGTTGCACATTCAATATTAACCTATATATATATATATATATATGATTATTTATTTTATTAAATGAATAATCAACAGCATAATTAGTTAGAATGAAAACTGTCAGAGAATCTAAAAATATCGCACAAAATTTGAATTTCACATTCGTGTTCTGTTGCAAGAATATCACATTGTCACAACCCTTTTTGTCATTCAATCTCATCAACCCCTTCTCAATTATAGTTTTCAGTTGAATAAATAATGACTGAGCTTTTGAATATATTTCAATTGTGGAGGAACTTTTCCACCCCAACTCATACATTACTCCGCATTGACTGAATCAATTACACATTCGCATCAATATGCATTGAAATTGGGTAAAATGTGAATAAATTTCTCAATTTGGGAGGATGAGAGATGGGTCGTCCCAGTGTTAAATAACTCTTCAAATCATATGCACTTCAATAAATGCCACAACATTTGATGTGCATTTCGGGAACATTTGCAGAGCAAAAGTCTTCAGCAATTTATTCAGTGTGTGTGTTGCTGGCAATTTTACTCAAGTGCTTTGCACAGAGTGTGTCAGAATGAAATTTTCACACTATACACTCATCCCCATTTATGTTTTCTGGCAATGAATTTGTTTAATTAATTTCAAAATATTTTCCCAAACTCGAGATAGTTTCAAATTTTGCAGGTATTACACAATTGCTGGCAATAACAGGCGGATTAGCCGCCTTGCAGTTTGCCGACTTCATGAGGATATATTAAATTGAAATGTGTGAGTTTTCCAGCAACAACACAAAAGTTTTGGAGATGGTATAAATATTACTCTCCATCGCAGACATGGTAGAGGAAAAAGACAGCCAATTAGCGCATAAATCACCCTGTGACTCAATTTAAATATCACGATTGAAAAGTTCTTGCGGCATTTGCCGGTCGCCTTGGTGTTATCTAATGAGAACACTTCTGAAGGTCTCCCATGTAAATAACTCTCTCAATTGTCACTCGAGATTTATGAGACACTCAATAATTCTCCGCCATGTAACACTTTGTCATTTGGCGTCTCTCACCTCTTCGCCACACTGCTAAATTCTCCCTCGAGACACAACTCTTTGTATCAATTAGACGACGCGGCAGGTGCAGCTGGAAAATCGTTAAACGGTCATTTTGAATTTTCGAACATCTGTCAATGTCACAACCGTGAATAAATTATATACAGTGGAAAAATCTCGCAAAGGGTGTATCTCTCACGACCGCACATTGTGACACATTGTCGCGCAACCCTAACCTTTTAAAGCCCTTTAAGACCCGAATCCCTTCCATCCCCCGTATTTACCCAGCAAATGCTCTCATTCACAACAAAAAGATTTATCTGCTCAGCAGTTGCGCCATCCTTCGTGAGCTCTGTGTAGACAAGAAGCAATCTTCGAGAGGTCAAACGTCGGTTGAAAGCTAGTTTTTCCGACAAATTATATGCAGCGAAAATGTTGCAAAAAATGCATTAACAATTTCTTTGTTCTTAAATTTTCAAGTTTCAAGCGTAGAATTGACACAAATTGTTAAAATAAAATAAACGCAACGATGCGCATTATTTCCTGAGTTCTTTGTAAAAGAATCATCCATATTTGGTTTCTTTACTACTAATAATGTGCAGTTTTGTTGGACTGAACTCAGTTAACTATCAAATGTATAAGTGAGCACATCGTCGTGACTTGCGAATTGTTAGTGCGTAAATCAAACAACGCATTGAAAAGTTATGTTCAACTTTCCCGTGTGTGTTTAAAGAAGACAAATACAGTGAATGCACAATGGATCAATTTCCTTCAACGTGTCCAAACCTGAGCACAGGACCTGCAAATCAGATTATTTCGCTCCTCATCAAATATCTCGCATTGTCGCAATGTTCACTCTCGGCGCCAGAAACTTGGCCCAGAGATTACGGAGAAATTGCTATGCAAAAAGGTGACATTTTGTATTCAAAGTGATAAAAATTGCGACGAATAAAAATTATAAACTCGCAGGTTTCGAGGAGTACGACTTTATCATTGTTGGCGCAGGATCTGCAGGATCAGTTGTGGCGAATCGCCTAAGTGAGAATGCAAACTGGAAAATACTGCTTCTCGAAGCAGGAGAAGATCCGCCAATAGAATCAGTAGTAAGACAGTTGATGAAAAAAAGGACTCAGTAGTTCAATATAATAGGAAAATTTTAAAAACCAGGTTCCAGGACTTCAAACAGGGATGGCGAGAACTGAATACGATTGGATGTTCTTTGTGGACACATTAAATCGCAGCATTCACTCTGGTTTGTGGCAAAGAGGAAAAATGCTGGGAGGAACGAGTTCAATGAATGCTATGATCTATGTGAGGGGAAATGATGATGATTATAATAATTGGAAGAGGCTTGGAAATCCGACATGGGAATTCGAGAATGTCCTGGAATATTTCAAGAAATCAGAGGCAAATCAAGATCCGGAAATCGCTAACGCTTTCGGAGGATATTATCACTCCAAAGACGGACCAATGTATGTGGAACTCTTCAGAAGTAATCTGTCAATCAACAATGTCATCATTCAAGCAGCCCAAGAGATGGGATACAAATTCATCTTAGATATCAATGCAAACGAGCACATTGGATTCACATTCGCGCAAGGATCCATTCGATCGGGAGAAAGAGAAAGTACAGCCGCGGCTTTCTTGCGTCCAGCCATGAATCGCCCCAATTTGCACATCGTCAAGCACGCGCATGTGACTAAATTGCAAATTGATAGGCAAGGAGTTGTTTCGGGAGTCTCCATGATACTTCGCGGAAAGAAAAAACTGAAGGCATTTGCCAGAAAGGAAGTGATTGTGAGCGCGGGAACCATAAATACTCCACAAATTCTCATGCTTTCAGGAATTGGACCTGCTGCTCATCTTCAAAAAATGCAAATTCCAGTTATTCAAGATCTGCAAGTTGGAAAGAACTTGCAGGATCATCCATGCGTAGCATTTTTAGTTAAACTCAATGAATCCAATGCTACAAAAGTGAGTCCAATTGATCTGATGAGTAGTTACTCAATGTATTTAACACAGCGAACTGGCGATTTTGCCACAGTCGGTTCCTTTTCAACTGTTGGTTTTGTTAATGTCGACGATTTCCGTGCAAAATATCCGAATTTTCACTTTTATCAAGTATTTTTCCAAAAAGGAGATACAGAAGGTATCACAGGAAATTTAAGACAATTTGGATATGGTGAAGATGTCATAAATTTTGGTAGAAAAGAAATTCAAACGTCAAACATATTTTTTATTCTTCTAATGCATTTATTGCCATTATCGAAGGGAGAAATTTTGCTACGAACTCCAAATCCAGATATTAAACCTCTAGTAATTTCCAACTTTTTCGCTGAATCTTCAGATCTTGCATCTTCAATCAATGCAGTTCGATTGTATAACAAATTTTTATCAACAAAAACATATCAATTAAACGAAGCGACGCTTAGAACGTTTCCAGTTCCCGAATGTGACAAATTGGAATACAATAGTGATAAATATTGGGAGTGTTACTTTAGATATACAGTTCGTACAGTTATTCATCCTGTGGGAACGGCAAAAATGGGTCCTGACTCTGATCCTGACGCTGTTGTGGATTACAGATTGCGCGTGAAGGGCGTTGAAGGCTTGCGAATCATTGATGCCAGCATTATGCCAAGAATTCCGCGAGGCAATACAAATGCGCCATCAATAATGATTGGGGAAAAGGGAGCTGATTTTATTAAGGAAGATTGGAAATTTTTCTACTGAGGAATGTAATGATTGGATACATTTTACAGATAATTACTAAATAATTCCAATAATACGTTCTTATTTTTAATGTCTAGTTGATCCCATAAAATGAAAATAAACGCAATCATGCGCATTATTTCCTGACTTCTTTGTGCAAAAACCAGCAATATTTAGATTCTTTACTAATGAAAATGTGCGGTTTTGTCGAACTGAATTCACAACTCAGTCAACCATCGATCATTGACCATTGGTTAAGTGAAAACATCGACATAATCCACTTCCAACCCTCAGTTTAACACTGATTCTGAACTCTGAGTAAGAATCGTTCAATTTATGCAATCACATTTTCCACATACTGAAATGAAACCATCATAAAATTCAAAGCGCATAATTAAAAGCTCATGTTTACCATCCAAATAACCGGCAAAATGTATCAAATTTGTGTAAAGATGTGACGGGAAGCTAATTAACCACTAATATTTGACAATCATTTAACGTTGTGATATTGTCAAATGTGTATTTACAGCAAGCTGCTAATGTGGCTTGCTTGTTGACACAAATTATTGAGTATACCACAATTTAATTATCGATACAAGCTTGTTACATTGGTTTCACCAGTGAAGCGAGTTTGTGAATTTTTCCTGAAAGAGTTCAGCAACTGCCAAAACATGTGAAAAGAGAGTTTCCTCCATTGTCGAAGAAAGTATACGGAGAAACTGTAAATTAGTCCCAAAGGAATAAATATACACAATTTGGAAGCAAAAATACCCCCTCGCGCAGTGATTTCAAACTTTTCCCACCGTTGTGCGCAATAAAAATGGAAATGCCAAAGTGTAGAACTTTGTTCCAAAATTCCACCCCCACCTTCAATTACAAACAACAACTTTTTCACCCCCCACGGAGCTGCAATGTATGCAAATTAAGGCGGAAAAATATTGACGGTATTTTATTGGTCTGTCGAGAGTATGTTAGAGGAGTAGGAAGAAGGTCCTTTTGCGCCATATACGTTTATTTACTTAACTTGTGTGATGGTGCTTAATAAATTTTTTTTTCTTCACTCCTCTCCATCCCCATTAAATCATCATGTGCAGGGGGTGTGTGCACGAGAGAGAGAGAGAGAGTGGAAGGGGAGAAATGTGTCTGTTGCTGGTGAAAATGCCAAACTTTTGTATTAAGGATAATACGAAACTTTTACACTCTCAGAACGTGAAACTTAAATACTTGTGTATTGAACAAATGTGTGGCATGACTGTGTGAGTGAGGGCTCGTCGAGTGAGTGAGATAAAAATAGACAATGGACGTGATGGGGACGATGGGGTGGCGCCGCCATATGCTGTAGTTCTCACCACCCACACTTGAGGCGAAGACGAGTGGAAAAAACGACTTTCAATTCCATGTGGATCGCCTTTTTTCTGCCTTTCCGGGGATGCCCAGTGTGCTCCTTTTTTTCAGTCCTCCCAAACACTATTAGACCATCCCATACCACCCACCCCTGGCGAGATGTGCCGCTCAGCAGCTCGCCTAGCGGCACAAGACATCAGGCCTGAGAGGACCATCGAGGACTTTAATAAATCAAGCGTGTGACAATCTCGTATTGATTGCCCAAGGAAAGCCAAAATGTCCATTAAAGCGGAATTCGGTGAGCAAGCTTTCAATGGATTGAAGATGTCATTTATTTTCAAAGTAATTCAACCCAATTTTCATAAGTCTAGCCTAATGAGTGTTTTTTTTTGTTGTTGTGATTCAAGGGAAAATCAGCCAAAAGTCACGCTAATCTTGTATGTTTTGTTGTGAAATATAATTGTTTCAAACTATTGGTCTTTAATTCAAAGAAAAATCGTCAAGACAATTGTATGCAGTTTTCGTGGAAAGCCATAGAATTGCTGCTAAGATGGCGGCTGTCGTGCTAAAGTCAGTGCGAAAGACATGAAAAAACAGTATTATATTGAATAATTACATATCAATTCTCTTGTAATATTCAGCATGACACTCCAGAAATGTTCTCAACACAACATCCACTTCCAGTGCGAAATGTGCCTCCTTCAGTATTCATGAGCGCCGCATGCATGCGTTGCTTATTCATATGGATGCCTCATTGTGTGTTGCTCGCGTACATTCAAATGCCCACGAAGCAGCGAGTGATATTTTAAAAAGCGCCCCCAACCCCAGACCTCATCATTGAACACCCCTCCAGACCATTTGGCATATTTGTGTGCGAACGCGGCATTTGCTACACCATCGCAGCACCGTGTGATATGAATTTATTTGCAATTTTGCCGCACGTGAGAAACTCGTGAATGTGAAAAAGCTCTACACACGCCCGATGGTCATTTTCGCCAATTAATATTCAACATAATCAAATTAACACTTGAGAGACTTCGGCCAGTGTGTCATCAGGTCCACACAATGTGGAAAAAAGAGCCACCCACAAATTGAGATATGATTTTGTGTGGCCATAAAAAAGGCTTATAAATTTTCATTTGATTTGATTTGTATGCAAAATATATGTTCAGATTGTTTGATTTCACAATACGGCTGTGATTGTGAAATGTAGAGCAAATATGTCAGTTTATTTTCCCATTAGATAAGGACTGCGGGTGGAGTTTTTTTGCCGCTCTCAATTTCTCGTCTCCGCAGTGAAAAACCAACAAACGAGAACACGTGAAAAAACACACTCCCATGCAGAATTTTTGCACATGAGAGTAAATTTTTCATAAATTCCCTTACGGCGTAATATAATTTATTCCGTCATCCATAAATTTTCCGCATCTCTTACTAAATAAACTAGCCCGCAATATTGAAGCTGGAATATTATTATGCGCTGTTTGTATAGTTTTTTTTGCGTCAGCACCAACAACAACCATCAGTCCAAGAAGTTATCCAGGTTGAGAAGGAAGAAAAAGACATTTTTTTTTTTTTGATTTTAGATATTACTGTAAATATATTTTAATGTATAATGTCATAAAAAAATTAAAGAGACAATAAAAGGAGACTTGAGTAATTTAATATGTATAATGAGTAAATTCTTACAATGTCTTGTTCGAAAGATTCAATTAAAAACTATAAGAGACCCTCTTAAATAATTTCTCTTGCATCTCTTTGCCATTTTCTTTATCTAGATTTCATTTCTTTTTTTTTTACACATTACCACTTATTCTTTATCTATATTTACAGGATGTAATTGAGAAGCCATTTTTTTATACACACTCTTATATACAACTTTCACCATCCGATTTCTTCACGTCAGAATCCTTACAATGTAGAATGTCTAATGAAATGTTATCAGTCAATTGATTATGTCACATTTGCTTATGTATTTCTGGTTTTTTTTTCTTCTTCTTTTTTGGATAATTCTCTTTACTATTACATTTTACTTCCATTAATATCTATTACATTGTTTTTTTTTATTTTCTTCACATTGAACATGGATTTTTTTCTTTATTTAGCTCTGTCCAGATAAATCGGCACAATTAATTGGTACACATTATGGTTTATTTTAGAAAATATTTCTGTATTATCCTTTATGGGATCTCCAGTTATAATTTCACAACATATATTATTTCTTTAATTGATGCTGCCTTTCGAGGAGACAAGGGGCATTTATCTGCAGATCTATCCAATAATTCCAATCTCGATGTTTCAGTCTTTGTTAATAATTTAAGCCACTTTTGACAGTGAGTTGCGCTATTAAAAAGCTCCTTTTTTTTGTCTGCAATTTGAATGCGCTAGATAAAAGCCCCTCTTGTGTACAGAGGAAAAAAATAAATAAAATGGTAACGAGTGCGTAAAAATTGAAAAGAACAACGAGAATCACGATGACATCAATTAGTATCTGCTGTTAGGTATTGAATAAAAATTTAATTATACACATTTTCACCATCAGAAATAAAATTCATACAGTGATATAAATCCAAAGCACTTTTGAAGGGTGATTGCGATACGAAAAAAGAGGCATTATATTTAAATTGCATTACTAAATAATGCATGAAATTGCATTGCAAAACACTCACAGCGATCCTTTGTCCAGCCAGCGAACCGCATTAGGCCTTGTTCACACCGTGGCTGACAGAGGTCTGCACCAAATGGACACCCTTTCCCCCCCCATCCCACAGCACATTAATGTTATATTAATGCAAACACCAAATTTATTATTGATTTCCTGTCTGAATTAAATACACAAATCTCATAGATTATGCATGCAAGTGTAATTCCCATTTACACTCTGGCTTCTCATAATCCATCGTCGGAATTTTCGCACCCCTTTTCTCCCGCCAAGCCACCCGAGTATCCTCGAAAGTAACAGTACATTTTGGGGGTTGAATTGTATTTTCTGATCTCTTGATATGTTGTGTAAGAATTTTTTTTTTCCTTTTTGAATATAGCAATTACATAATACATTATTGTAATGTCTTTTCACCTAATAGTCAAACTCCTCGTTTTCTTTTCTCATCATGCGAACAGGCATTTTATGGATTTTTCCTCTCTTGCGCGCTCTGAGAACCTAAAAGCCAGAACTTTGAAATGAGGAAATAATAAGAATTTATTTATCACAATTATTAATTCCTTTCAATCGGTATGAGAATAAATTAATTTAAATTATCGCTGCGCTTTTCCTAACACTATAAACATCTCATTTCATCATAAATGCAATTTCTCACGCCTTTTTTTGCCACTAACCTCCGCCACTTTAATGCTCAAACTGAATGTTTTTTCCTTTGCTTTTTCCATGAAAACAGGACTTGGAAGAATAAGATATCTCTTTCACTATGTCTATGAATAGGTCTTTTTCTTGCTTATGCTTTTTAATTACCACTTTAAATATGTATGTCGTCACTGCACTCACACTTTTTTTCTCAGTTTAGCTTCGGTCTATTATTGTATTTAATGAAGGTATAGCTCTCTGGTTCCATTTGTCTCGCTATTTACAACATTACACGTGGAATTCTCACATTGGAAAAAAAAACAGTCATCGACAGTTCTTGTGAAACTCACGTCTTTTGCCTCTCATCTGAGTCACAAAATTACTGAATACTGAGTCAAAGATTCTCCTTTAGTGCCTTATCAGTTTACATATTTTTAACCTGTTGGCATGTCTTTTTTGTGTGTATATTATATATTGAAAGGACGCAGTGGCCCATCGAGAACCGTCTGGTGGATCAAGAGTGTTTCTAGTTTTCTTTTCTCTTATCTCAAGAAATAGGAGAGATTAGAGCAGTTTCAGCTGCAATTTTTCTCTATCAAACTGTGAAGAGGGAGGAAAAAAGGAAGAATATTACAACATTATATGTATCTTCTGTTTCTGATTATGTATATTGATAGTGATTAAATTCTTGACAATTTTTAATCATTTTTGCTCTCTCCCTTTTTTCACGAATTCTTTTGGCCACACTTTGCCCAAATACCCCGCTCTCTCCTAATCATATCAATTAGACATCAAATTTCAATCAAACTGCCTAAAAGCCACTCTTCCAGACTGCGTGCTCGCGAGGTGATCGCTAGAAATGAGCTTTGAAATGAGATGGTCGTTACCTTGTGTGTCAGCTTACACCAAATACGCCTGCACGCGATGATCGTGCGGCGGACGGTGGCTGTGCTGGCTGCTGCTGCGCCACGTGAGCCTGTGCACGTCCACCACCATGTTCTCGCGGTCCAGGGTGCTGTAGTCGGAGTCGATGCTGGAGTAGATGTGCTCAGACGGAGGCCGCTGCGGCGGTGCCTCCACCATTGTGTGCAGCACGCCGTTGGGCAGGTGGTGCGGATGATGCAGCAGATTCTTCCGCATTGGTCGTGGACTGGGGGTGGCCGTGGTGGCCGAGGAGTAGTTGGGATCGTCACCCTCTGGACAGTAAGCGGGCGGTGGGGCCGGCCGGAAGACGACACCCGGGCTGGCGGGCTGCTTGATCCGCTCATGATGGTCAAGGGTGTAGTTGTTCCCACGGCGCTGGTTCACACTCTCTGCGGGCAGTGCGTAGCGCAGCTTCTCCGTGAATTGCTGCTCCAGCCTCTTCACGCGCCGCACGCTGGTGGTCTTCAGATAGGGTAGCAGCTCACAATCTGCCGCAGCGTCCAAGAACACATCGCTCTCCTCAACAATTACCAGCTTGTAAGGGCGTCCTTTGATGCTCTCGTGCACGGCATGGCGCACGTCGATGCGACTCCACTCCGTCTGCAGGAAGTTCGGACTCAGCACAATCACCACGCGCCTGGAGGCCTGAGCAGCCTCCAGGAGTTGCAAATATGTGGCATCCTGCACGAGATCACGATGCTGCACACAGAGCCTCAATCCAGGACGTCCGCGTTCGAGTTCCGGCGCCAATTCTCGCGTGATCCACTCACTATCCTTCGTGCTGTGCAGCACCAGAGCGTCATAGAGCTTCTCTGTCTTCTCACACCGAGCTCCAGTCACGCGCACGCCGTACTGCGTGAAGAACCACACGCGCACGGGCTCTCGGAAGATGTAAATTAGCACCAGTAGGAGAATGAGCACCGTGAGCACAGCAATGCCAATCATGAGGGGAATGTAGTTGCCGAACATAGTGTCGCTCATCATGGAGCCAATGGCATAGAAATCACTGCAGATTGACGTGGCATTGAGGTCAAGTTCGCGCTTCACGCCCGCCGGATCGACACAGTAAATGTCCTGACTGTCCTGAATGATCACGGCGCTGTCCGCCACGAAGGCGGTCAATTCCTGCAGATTGCGACACTTGCAGTTCCACGAGTTCCTGCCCAGGGCGAGCGAGCGGAGGTGTTGGAATTGGGGTGTCTGCAGCTGCCACAGCGGGAAGCTCACCAGCTGATTCCCATCGATCCGCAGCACCCTCAACTGCCTGAGGGGCTCTAGGGTGGCATTGGGCACCGTGCGAAGGCGATTGTTCTGCAGGTAGAGTTCACGCAAGTTCTGCAGGTCGTCGAACTCATTGCCTTGCAGGCTACGCAGCTGATTGTCGCCAAGATGGAGGATGGTGAGGGCGGACAGACCGGCGAAGGTGCGATTGTGCATGAGGGCGAGATTAGAATTGTTCATGTAGAGTACCTTGAGATTCTTGCGACCCAGGAATGCGTGGTTCTGCAGCTCATCAATGTCCGCGCCGTCCAGATACAGCTCCGTGGCGTCCATGGGTACCTTCTTCAGCAACTCCCGACCGTGTCGTCGACCGCCGCCCGCGCAATCCACCACATTGGCATTCCACGTGGTGTCGTGGAAGCAGGTGCAGTTGTTGGGGCACGTCATCTCGCAGTCGCAGGCGTCGAAGTCGCAGCAGTGACAGAGGGCGAAGCAGTGCGTCTCGTAGCGACAGAGGAAGTCCGAGGATGACAGGGAGGCCACGGATCTCACGGTGGGGCCGCGACGGGCGTGCGGCATCACGCACGCCACATTAGCCAAGTCCATGATGCGCGGGTGTTGGCGCGTGGTGAGATTGTTGATGCGATACAGCCAGTCCATTGAGCAATCGCACTCTAGAGGATTGCCGCCCAGATAGAACTCGGGCAGCAATCGAGACTCGGGCACAGGTGCCAAGCGGATAGTGTGCATCTGCAGTGTGGACAGAGCATTGGCGTACAAGTCCACCCTCGTGAGATTTGTCTTGTCGACAAATGTGTTGGGGTGGATGGTCTCGATGAGGTTGTTGTTGATGAAGAGCAACTCAATACTATTGGGAATGGCCATCGAACTGATTTCCGTGATGCGATTGTGGCTCGCATCGAGGGTCTTCACGCGAATCTCCTCTTGCAACTTGTAGTAATTCCTAAGGGCCTCAATGTAATTTGCATGAATGTCCAGCCACTTGAGGTTCTTGGGAATGAACGCATAGTCGAACCACACGAGGTGGTTCTCCGACAAGTTCAACCACAGCAGTGAGGCGAGGGTGGCGAACACCCCATTAATGTCACTGATGAAGTTCCGGTCCAGTCGAATGGCCTCTAAATCGGTATTCCTCTCAAAAGCACCCCTCTCAATGCTCTGCACCCGATTCTTTGCCATATTCAACACACTGAGTCTCGGCAAGTCCCAAAACATACCTCTTGTAATGTTGCCAATCAGGTTGTCGATTAGCCGCAGCCCGGTGAGTTGCACCAGATTGCGGAAGCTGCCATTGTGGATGGACGGGATCTGGTTCTCGCCCAGATCCAGCGTCCGCAGCATTGACAAATTCTGCAGAGCCTCCGGCACCTCCAGCAGCTGATTAGAGCTCAGGTCGAGCTCCTTGAGGTCCGAGCAATTCTTGAATGCGCTCACTTCGATCACAGTGATTAAGTTGTTGTTGATAGTCAACTTGGACAGCACATAGAGACCATTGAACAGCTTATCGTCAATGGTGTGCAGACGATTCTCGGCGAGATTGAGTGTGTGCAAATTGTATAGTGGTAGGAATGCGTTCTCCTCGATGTGCCCAATTGAGTTGTTGCGCAAATTCAATATCTGCAGGAAGTACAGCTCCTTGAACGTGCGACTGTCGATGCGAGTGAGAGCATTGTGGGCGAGATTGAGGACGATCAGCCGAATGAGACCCACGAAGGTGCCATTGCCAATGTGATGACTAGTCAGGGAGTTTGAGCTGAGATCCAGCACTAGCAACTGCTCCAGGCGATGGAATGTCCCTCTGGCCACGGAAAGCAGCATGTTGTTCTGCAGGTGGATCTCGCGCAATTCACGAGACCCGGCAAACACGCCCTCGGGCAGCGTTTCCAGGTTGTTGAAGCTCGCATTGAACACTTTAAGGGAGCCCAGCCCAATTAGACACTCACTTGACAGCGCCGTGATGTTGTTGTGCTGCAGGAGGAGCTGCTGGAGCCGCCTGAGCCGCGAGACGCCCCACTCATCGGGAATGGCCTGCAGCTCATTGTGACTGGCGTCCAGGATGTGGAGATCCGTGCCTCCGCCGCACTGGTTCGCAAAGCCGAGGCTCTCGGCGGCGCGTATTCTGTTGGTGCTGAGATTGAGGTGCTGCAAATTGTTGAGGGGGCACAGCACGCCCTCGGCCAGGTGGCGCAGGTTGTTGTGACTTAGGTCGAGGTACTGCAGATCCTTGAGGTCCACGAGGGCGTCCGGCCGGATGTCGAGCGTCTTGCTGGGCGCCCACGCGTAGTTGTTCGTCTGCACTGTCAGCCTCTTGAGATTGCCGAGCCCACTGAAGGCGTGCACTGGCAACTGCAGGAGCTTGCACGACTCCACTGTCAACTCACTGAGACTCTGGAGGCGGCCGAAGGCGCGCACCGGCAGTTGGGACTCGAAGAAGAACTGCTCGTTGCACTTGATGTCCAGCCGATTGGTGCCCTCGGCACCGCTCAAGTCCACACCTTGCCTCTCCAGGCGCCGAATGGAGCATGTCACGGCGCTTCCGTTCCGGTACTCCCACGAGCACTGTGCCGCCGCGTGGCCAAGGAGCACGGTGACCACGAAACTCCATGCCACGTACCATTGCATGATTCCGTCTAGTGTCCGCTTCTGCCTTCAGTATCAATTCATAACGCACTTCAACTACATACTTCCGGCACTCTTCCACATTCCCATGCCTTGTCTCTTGCTCTGGGATGAACTTTCTCCACAACGAAACTCACAGCACAAACATTCTGGCACTTGGGCTCTCCTTTCCTTCCTCCTCGCCGCGCGTCGAGCCAACTTTTATATGCCTTCAACTCTCTAATTTAATTAATCTCACATCCGTGCGCACTCTTTGGGCATCCACAATGGCCAAGTTGAGACAGTAACTCTATAATCTGCTCGGGTCAGGCACTGAACAAAAGAAAAAAAGAAGAGCGCCCAACAAGAAACACAAACACACTCTTTAATTGCTTTCTCTCCTCGCGAGCAACAATGTTGGTCGATGCTGAAGATTCTACCAAGTCTCCGTTCACAAGTATCTCCGCTGTGTGATTATGCCACAGGACAGTTTGTCTTTCGAGTCACACATCACTAAGCACAGTCACAGCACTTTGAGTCATTGCGCGCGCGAACAGTGTCCAAGGAGCGACTGAAATGCGTCTGCATCGGTTGACGAACAAACTCCAACTGTTGTCTCTCGACTGTGGTTGCCGATCAAATGCCAAGTGGCTCAACTGAGACATTTTCCCGCCATCGAGCTTATGCTGCACACGCGCCCGAGCGCCCCTTCGGCAGTGCACAAACTCACCTTCGGCGGGTGCTCTTCCCCTCTCGAGCAGCATACTCACCACATCTCAGTGCACGTATGCCCCCCACCTCCCGGCGCACCAACACACACAAACGGCGAATTGAACCACAAATTTACTACAATTGCAATTTGGCGCCAAATAAAAGAAATGCGTGATGGCCCCTCGGTGCGGGGGGTGGGAAATAAATGGAAAATTCTCACTGAATTGGCAGAAAAACTCACCACGTGACGATGAGTTGGAAAATTTTAATTTTCCCACCCCATCAGAGCCGAAAAAATGCTCCTCTCGACTTAATGACGGAAAATGGAGGCAGCGCGACTTATACTCAAATAACAATAAATTATAATATGAGAGTCATAAAAAGGGCTCCTCAATTTTTGATTTTAGCCTCGTTTGCATTTCTCCCTTCACCTCGCCGCGACCCCACATCTGTCTCAGTGGCCACGAGGAAGAAGAAGTCGAGAGGCGAGGAAGACGAACTTTTTCACCAACAAGTTTTGAGGATGCTGAATATGTAATAAAACGCAATCGTATTACAGAGAAAACAGCCCCAACCATCCACCCCTTTATCCCAATTGGGAAAAATGTAATCATATTGAAGCCGTAAATAAAGACAGAGATTGCTGAATCGTTAAATCCTTCACAGAAGAGCACCGAATGGCAGCAAAGGGTGGAATTTTTCCTCTCTACCATATATATATATTTTATAATTTGCTGCCCAATTCAATACTTGACGGTCTGCAGATGACTTTGCAAACGACAGAATTGTGATTTAAGAGAAACTTGTAGGCCACATTTCAATGCCCAACTTTTTGGCTCTCCATTTCTCCCAGAACTTAGTGTTTATGTGCCAGTAGAGTTAGTATAAAAGGCACAGTATCTGGTTGAAAACTTTTTAATTACATCTCCAAACCACACAGTACAATTTGTCTTTGGACCTCACACAACGCACGCTTACTTTTGACCCCAAAATGGTGCTCGACAGAACTCAGGAGCATCAAATTCAACAATATCTCAAGTGTCTGCAGACTTAGCGCAGCGATGTGTAATTTAACCCATTTAACACTCGAGGTAATCACAAAACTTGTGCCATTTTCCCAAATCTCAGTGCATTTACGTTTTCCTTCCATCACCGCAATATCAATGTAACTCAGATGGATCTATTGGAGTTTAGATTGATTAGTGCAGTTCAATTTGCTAAGTAGAGAAAAAGAACATCTAAAAGTGTTTCGCATTGAAAAACTGCAATTTTGTCGATCAATTTCCAGTTAATTCGTACTGTTTATCATTAATTGAAATCATTTTCAGCTGATAATTGAGTTTAAAACGACACATTGACGAATCCTAACGTGGAAAAACTGATTTAAAATGATATATGGATTTGAAACTCAACGGTTCCGTGGATTTCAGATGGTTGTTTGATTAGAATTCTACTCAAGATTATCCTCAATCCAGTCCAGAAAGTCGCTGATCACGATGAAGGCCGTGGGTCCTTCGGTGCACGTGTAGGGATCAGTAAAGACCGCCATGGCGTAGAGATAGTAGTGTCCCTGCCGATCAATGTACATGAGCCCAGCGCCAAAGTCTCGAGCACAGACGGAGAGTCTCCTGAAATCGACAGAAGTGGCGCAGAATTCGTTCTCCCTCAGAGTCATCTTAAAGACCATTGTGCAGAAGTTGCGTGACCGCGGATAGAAGACCCCAAATGTCGGCTCAGTGACGTAGCCTACCTCGAGCTTCTGAGGATTGCTGTGTCCGTAGAGCACCAGCGCTCGCAGCCAAAACTGATCCGGACCCCAAGATTCCTCTGGCGCAAAGGGCACAGAGAACTCACCGGTTTCGAGTGGAAAGGGATTTAGCACCTTCCCCAGAGCGACATTGTTCTCCTGTGTCAACGGATCGTAATCCTCGGAGATCTTGATCTCCGAAATCGTGGTGTCGTGTCGCAAACCTTTGAGTCCTGTGATGCCGACGAAGAAGACACCTGACTCATGGCCCTGCAGGCAGAAGGCAGTTGTCAGCACGTAGTCCTCCGTGATGATGGTTCCGGAGCACTCGTAGTCTGAAGTGTCTGTGAAGAGGTTGTCCTCGAAGTACCGGATCAGGACAGTGAAAGCCTGCTTGCGAATATCTCCAGCTGGATACTGCACTCCACCGAACACGCGATTTTCCTCGTGTCTCGCGATATTTCTGATCCATTTGGACGCTTCGGCTATGATGACAATTGTCCAGAAGAGAATGCAAGCCCGAAACTCCATTTCTCTCGGTTTCCCACGCAATAGTGAACAGCTTCGTGCAGGGCTGATTTTAGGTACACACTTTGAATAGAATACAATATTTTTATCTTCTCAAAAGACACGTGAATTTCCTTTCAAACTAGTTCCTAAACCTTTTATCGTCACACATTTTCAACATTTCATTTAACCCAAATATATAGAATAATAGTTTAGAGAACATTATTTCGTGTTTACTTACAAATCTTTTCCATTTCAAGTGTCAAACGAATAAATTTCTCTTTTTTCAGAGTGTTTTGTGAATATTCTATACTACAATATGTTATGAGATTAACAGCGCAGAATTGATTTCTTCGTTTCGGCCTAAAAGAAGCGATTTGTCGATGTCCTTATTATCATCTTAAGCGTGAAATGGGTCACAAAAACACTAGATTTATTGATTTTTTGTTAGTAAAATTCCCCTAAAAGCTTCAATTTCCCTCCAAAACACAATGATAGCCGCTCAGATGGCAAAACTGTGCGAGATTTTAATAAAATTGACCCAAAAGCCTCGAGGCTGCGACTTCTAATTCAACCCCATTCGCCCCAGCGTCCCTCCCCATTCTGCTGTCCTCTAAATTTTCTCACAATTGTCCTGCACAGTTTTACGACTTTTTCATTGTATTTTCATTTCGGCCTGAAGAAGGGCTGCAGCAAAAGCTCCAATGTTCTGTTTGGCAAAGTTCAATTAGAGTTAAAGTTGGGGATGCTACATTTGTTCACTTGGACAGAGGAAAATTGATGGGGTGCTTTCATCAATTTGCACCCATTAAAAATTTAGTTTCAATTTCCATTTAGGACAGTGTCCTTGCCAAGTAGCGCATCCCAAATTAAAAATACATGGACAAGTTCATCTCACAATTCCAAACTCCGACTCTCAACCCAACATCAAGGATCAAAGTGAACATCTATATCTTTCATTCATGCTGTAAAGTACAGCTCAAAGGGACTATTTCAATTAAAAGTCATCTCAATTGTTTATTTACACGTGTGAGAGAGAGAAGAACTTAGCAAATTAATGAATTATTCTCTCTTTGTTTACATAGAAACACTCTTATTAATATCCACTCTATTTCGGGGATAGTTATTTGGAAATGTGTCGCTTTCACGTGTCCTTTTTGGGGGACTCCAAGCATCCAAGGTTGAAAATAGAATCCCCCTTAATTGAATGACTTTCACTGGTTGAGTGAAGTCAAAACATTTTTAAATAAATCATGAGATTTTACAAAAACAAAACCTCTCAATAAAAGGAAGTTTTTAGAGATTCTCTCAATTCTTATAAATAAATCTTCATTGCACTAATGCATCGCAGGATTGAATACTTCTTTGGAATTCTTTATGAGATTTAAGAGAGAGAGAGTTTTTAAGTCTCCACCCACTGAAATGCCCCGCCCATTTGTACAAACCGTACAAACTATTGCAAGCATAAGAAGTGCTTCGAAACTTTCTTTCCTGGAAAATCTTCAACTTTTCTCCCCCATTATTTGCATCCTCTTTGGATCATATTAATAGCCTCATATTTACTATTGCTGAGATAAAAGCTTTCTACCTGAAGAAAAGCAATACAAAAAATATATATACAAGTTATTTTTAGCTAATGAACTTTTCCATAATCATCCGATAAAAGCACGAGAGAAACTTTTCCATCATATTTATTGTTTCATGTTATTTTGCATAGTGTATGAAAAACTTCCGTGCAGTGGAAAAGCTTCGCTTATAAGGAAGGAAAGCAACCTAATTAGTAATGAGCTTCGATGCTCTTCTTGACTTTCCTCATGAACAATTATTTAAGTGCAGAAAGCCAGAGAGAGAGAGAGCGAAGAAAAATCCATACACAAGGGAGGAATGTTGGGTATTTTCTTTCCCCATTCAAAACTCCCCGTGGAGTTTAATTGAGCAAGAGGAGACAATCTGGGGAAGAGATTCACGTGTTGGCACACAGCGAATACACACCTTTTCACGTTTTACATCAAAAAGCTATTTTCCACCCCATTTGAAGTGTGCTCCAAGTTCTCCAGAACAAGCCTTTGCATGTTCCTTAGATTGTGTTCCTGTGTTATGTTGGGTCCCCTTTAGCTTCGGTGCGATGCGATGTAAATAAGAAGACCATAAGAACTTTCTGAGATTCACCTGAAAGTATTTTCATCTCACATATGCGATTGTGTGGTGAAAAGTTGATTTTGCATCCTCTCAAATTGCCTGAAGGCAATCCAGAAATTATCCAGAAATATCCTTTCACCTTTGCGTTGGCACAAAGCTTTTGAGAATTTCCTCTAAATTTCATCGTCAATAGATAAATTTTCCTAACACAATTTCGCCCTTTTTGCAGACGTAAAATACACCCTCAGCATGGCAAAAGAGGGTGGATAAATAATTACCAACAGGAAGCTTTTGCCTTTCACAAGATTGCCTCTGGAAATCCAGAGAAGCTTTCAAGGGGAAAATTTCATCTAAAAGTTTCACATGAAAACTCACACATTTCAGAGGCCATCTCGATTTTTTTTCTTCCTCTCTCTCTCTCTCTCGCCCTCTCTGGGCCTATTCATATCCAAACTCTCTCGGTAGAGCATTTACTACATAAACTTCCACGAGACGTACAGTAAAATGGAACTTTATAGATTGGATTATGGATTACTCTCCCACTTCTTCCTTATTTGATGTGAGGAAAAAAAGAGGAAAGTTTATGCCAAAACACACTCACATGGACGATGCGAAGGACCATATTCACGATTTAAGAACTGCACATGGGAATGAGTGCGGAGAATGGAGAAAGCCAGTCTCAAAGCTCTCCTCTTATACGGCCCACCCCATCAGGAGAAGTCGCCCGCTGTTCGTGAGCAATTCCACTTATTGTATCTTAGGGCAACACCAATAATAAGCCAATAGAGCCCATCAATGGCGTATATAAAAGTTGAAATGAACCAGCCAATCTAATTAGACTGTTTTGCCCTTCATTCCTGACTTGATTGTGGGTGCATCGCTAAGAATAATTAGCACAACTGTATTTTGCGCTCTATTTTGTATTATTCTACTCAAAAAGCACTATACTTTGAGCACAATTGAGCAGTGAAGAATAACGATTTTAAGAACATTCACGCAAATGAGCTGAAAGAGGAGTTAATTCAGTGTAATCGAACTTCTGCAAGTCGATCTTCTTGGCAAGACATTCCGCCGAACAACGAATTTCCATGCTCAGCACATTGAAGGCTCCTTTGAATAAAGTGGACACGGAATTTTCCGACGCCACCATTTCGGATGCAGAATGAGTTTCATGTGTTTTGCATTCAGAGCGGCATAAAATAGAAGATTATCCGTGTGAATCCGTTGTAATAATTTGAATTGAATCAATCAAAATCCGCATTTATAATTCAGTTGATTGAGTTGATTAATACAAAGGTGAATAACTGAAATTGATGATTCAATCTTTGCTAAGAATAATTGTATTAATTGAGAAGGATATTTTCTACTTAAACTTGTTTCTTCACTACCAAATCACAATAGAGCTTTAAAGCAAACAAATCAGCACAAAAAAAAACATATGAAATTCTCATCTTGTGGCCTAAATCACTGGGTTTTCTCCCTTGAACACTTAGATTGATTATCACTGCAGTAATCAAACTAAACGCAAATAGATCGCCTGCGGTATTTATATTGATATTGCGGTGTGAAAAGAAAAGGAAAAATGCAAGATAAATGGATTTGCATGCATAGAATATTCATTTCTTCACATTATCGATGCAGACTTTACTATTCTGTCTCACGTGGTCTTATATACGGTTTGAAAGGCAAATAAGCGGTGCATGCAGAGAGCAACACCCCAAAATTTATCAATCGCTTGTTTTAGGAATAAATTACGTGAGCAAATGCATAGCTTGTGGCATGATTAACTGCTACTTGTGTACTTTGCAGGCGAATAAATCATGTGAATTCGGTAGGACTTTGTAGATTTATTGTGCGACAATGGCGCACCAAGTATGAATTCCAGCCAGCAAATTTCGATCATTGGAAATTAATGGTCAATATTCTTCGCCATTATACTATGTTTCTGCTTATCTAATATCTTTCAAGCATGAATTGAGTGTCTCAGTGTTCGGTGAATAAATCATGCGAGCCACACTCTCTCTCCCCGGCAAAGAAGGTGGAAACTAAGCACAATTTCAACTCACGAATGCTTCTTTTATTGAAAGCGATAACATTTGGGGCAGCTCTACTGTCAAGGATGGAAATTCTCTACAGGATCTCAGCGCGAGCCAGGTAGGAGCACTGGTAGATCTTGAAGGCCGTCTCGCACTTTCCGGCGCCAGATTCGCCCTTGCACTTGTCCACGACCTGCTTGACCTTGGACGGGTCAGACTCGCCCTCGGACAGCTTCTCCACAGCCACCTTGTCCTGGAAGACGCCGTTGGAGTCCATGAAGCCGACCTTCTTGAAGAAGCAGTCCACGAAGCACTGCGTCTTGTCGTCGGCATTGGCAAAGTCACCCTTCCTCAGGTTCGCCACCCTCTCGGCTGGCAGACCGATTTCCTGGCTGCACACTTGCATGTGTTCGCGGGCCTTCTTGCGCTGCTCCTCAGTGATGGCCTACAACAGAGAGTGTCCCTTAAAGCTTGAGGCACAGCCCAATATTTGTTCATAATTCATAAATTCAACACACTCATTCGAAAGGCCAATTAAGCAATCAAAAAATTACAATCAGAACTCGAAGGATGTACTTAAAATGCTATTAAACCACTTCTAGAACTGTTTATACTGTTTCTACTGTTGAAAATCTGTGTCCAATCAGTTAAAGTTTTAATCGGTTCACTGGAAACAAAGTTTTAGAGTGTGCAATCAATGCACAGCAACTGAAAAAAATGCTCAGTTTGAGGGAAGCTGTGGTGAATGGCAATCAACAATTCCTGGGAAATCCTCGATGTATACTCACAGTGACGATTGTGACAAAGGCGAGGACGAAGAGAGCTGTTGTGAACTTCATTTTGAGCGGTTTTGGCGGTTTGTTTCTTGAGCACAAGAGAAACTTGGTGTGTTTGAGCACTGCAACAGTTGAACTGATCTCTATGTGATTGACTCACTGTATTTATACACTGACCAGCTGTTCTTCAGCTGCTGGACTTTAGAATTATACCTCCCACCACAATTCTCGACACCTCAACACATTGCTAGAAAAAAGCGCCAATCATGCTCACAGCTTTTCCTGCTAAAATCGCCAGTGAGCAAGGAGAGCAGTAAAAAAATTAGACTCTTGAACCGGTGAAACAATGAGCTTTTGACCCTCAAGATTCCCAACGAACACAGCTCCAAAGTTCAATTGCCAATTTCCCCTCCCGAAAAGCATGAAAATTGGGTAAGGAAGTCATTGCAATTGGCAATTCCCGTGGGAAATGACGAAGAAGCGCTGCCAAAGTGCGTGAGTGCAATTAAATGCAAAAGAGGCAATATGCAATTTCTTTCTCTCTTTTTTTTTCTTTCAATAATTGCAAATAATCATTATTAAGTCACAGAAGTTCTCTTGAGCTAAAAATTCTAATTTTAGACACACGCTCTCTGCTCCTTTTCTGCAAGAATTGCCAATGCAAAAGGTTGCAGAGTGATTTCACTGGCAATTAATCATCGACTTACTCGTTTACCATGTACAACATTGGGTGGATGTCACGAGGGTGTCAATGCATAACAATAATTCAGTCAATTAGCCGCACTCCAAATGGCATGTGCAAAAATTAGCACACTCTATGGTCAATTCGCCGCTTATCTCACTCCCCAATTCAGGGAAAACTCCCGCGAAATGCTTAAGATTTCCACCGTGAACAAAGCTAAACACGGTCAATGCCATTAAGCTCATTATGCGCGCTTTTTTCTCTCTCTCACTTGTCTTCGCGCTATTCAAGTTCATCGTCTACAGGGTTCGCCAATGTGTACAAAGTAATCCAGTTGTGTTGAATATCGTGTGATTATTATCGGGAAAGCATCAATTTGAGAGCACTTGAACTTGATTTATTGCACACGCTAAACGCCACAAATTCTCAGCATTCTCTAGCAAAGTTTCGCCACTTCCGATTGTCCGCTAAATCGACTAGAATTCATTCTACTCTGCCATCATATTAGTGATAAATCAGCCGTGATTGGGAAAAGTTTATCTCCATTAGTGAATGTGTGAGACGCAAAATGCCACATTCTTCAGACACTCTCCACAATTTGCTTTCCTTCCACGCGATCTGCGCTAATTGAGAAGATTCTCAGAAGTGCAGCTGTAGAATTCACTCATGGCCTCAACGCACTCATTTTCCCGCACTTGAAAACACGCCCTTTTCGGAAGTACGGAAAAAAGGGAAATTATATAGTTTTTTTGGCTCGAAATTATTCACTACTCTTTTGTCAATTGTCACGTGTTTGATGTTTTTCCCGCTGAAATTGCCTTGTTATCAATCTAATCGCAATTGTGATCTGACAAGGCAATTAGAGAGTAATTCCTGCCGTGATTGAGCTCAGTCTCATGAGCAATGTTTATATTACAAATAGGGAAAAATGCGGTGACTTTTTTGTGGGGTCTTTGTGAAAATAATACTACAATGAGCTGGAAATTCGTGCCAACGAAAAATCAACAAAATCAGAGATTGAATTTGGTAAAGTGCGAATCATGAAACATTCATTCAAACGATAAAAAAACAGGAATCTGGAAAAAGAGAGAATAATTTCGGAAACATTGTATTTTCTATGTACATTATTTTCAATTTTATCCTTTCAATAAAAATCCACGAAACGAAAGGCAAAACATCTGAAGGATTTTTTAATGGAAAGAATAATAAATTATTCAAATTGTGAGAATATTGAAATATGAATCTTAAGGACGTCATTCAAAGTCACAAAACAAATGAAATTATTCAGGACATGAAGAAATGATTAAAATTCTTCACTTGAGAAAACAATTGTTGCGATTTAAGTAATTCTCATCACATTTCTCAACCAAAATTCAAGATTTCAATAAAACAAGAGCTTTATTAAACCCCAAAAACTCCGATAATGAATCATTTCGTCCATGAATATAAAATGAAAAAATAAAGCTCACCAGTGAGAAGGAATATTTTTTTACGGACTTTTCAGTCATCTTCGCAATGTCCTTCCGGACGATTTCCTCATTTTCAACACTCTCCTCGAATTGAATAATCCGGGAAATATTGAGCGATTAAGTGCCAAAGATGACGGCAATCACATCCGGCGGAAAAGGATCAAATAAAATGCTTGTGCGGATGATCCCAATAAAAAGAAAAGGATGAGAGAGAGAAAAAGATTCTTCCGCACAAATTCACCAATAAATTCACGGAATTCCATTCAATTCGACAAATAAAATGAGACACTCTTCGGTTTGGATTTCGTCTGAGAACTTTCACATGGTGGTTTGAAATTGGCTGAATTCTCAATGAGTTCGTGGCCATTTGACAAGCTATTGCAATTTCGTTTCCAATATTCTCTCAATGTCATATTATTTTGCGCCACTTTCTTCGGCAAAATGTGATTTCTGCTAACTCTCAGATTTGCTCCGCTCCATCCTTAATTCATCGACATAATTCCTTGATTGATTTTACAGTGACAATTATTGCGCTTAGAGATTTCATCACACATTGTAGCAAAATTTAGAGAGCTTTTTCACTTTAATTTTGTGCAATGAACTCGGAAATCTCCCACAATCGATTATGCATTGTTGGCAGCTAATTGGTTTTAAATTGATGCCATGGAGCAAAAGTGTTGAAGCCCTATTGATATTTTACAATTTAATTATAATGCATTCAATTAATTATCCAGACAGGGTCACATTACGTCCGTAGTTATGAATTTTAGCACCACCAACTGACACATAAAGCAATCAATTAATTAACTGACTAAGCGGTATTGGCGGCTGACACGATTTTTTTTTTATAATTCTGCATTTTCCACAGTTTTTACCGCTTTTCCACGTGTTTTACACTCATCAATAAATCTTACTTTATGGCATTATCCAATGGGATGATTAATTGTCTGCACATGAAGTGTTAAAAAATTATGCAAATCGTTAAAAAAGTGATTATTTTCCGCATTATATTAGCGATTTCACGTGTTTTGCTTCTTGAGGCTCCGCCCACTCACAAACACCGCCCATTAAGCCACAAAACAGTAGAATTCTGCGCCTCAGACTCTCAAAATACACGTGAAATAACAATAAAATGTGTGTTTATTTGCTTTATTGTGATTCTCCTGAAATATTGTGGCAATATTTCAATTGCGCATGAGACACTTTCTCAGTCGAATCTCTAATTCTATGTAAGCCTGTCCCGCTCTTCCGTCATGCCTCGATAAGATAAGGCCCGCGCTTTCGATAAGATACCCGCCCAAATAGTGAGAAATCCGAGCAGTATCGCGGTGAAATCCACGGAGTTGTGCAGGTTGCAGTGAAAAAATAATCGAGTCCAAATCGTTTTCATTGTTCACAGCGAAGGTGAGCAAATGACCAAATATGCCTCTTCCGGCTGTGAATTGCTCATGGAACATTCATTGATTCGGCGGGTGGGCAAAAGTGCAATTACAGACTGAGGGTCGCAGAAAGGAAGGGGGGAGAAAAGGGCTCTGAGTGGCAGGTGAAGTGTGTGAACTCCGCAGACACATATTTGTTCCGTGAGACAAAAGGACATGGAGCGAGTGTGGACAATTGTCCTGACTTTGTTGGCAATTCTCGTGGCACACTGTGCAGCAATTGCTGCCTTTTGTCCACCCGACAGGGACATCGCGCCCATTTCCGGGGACAATGACGACTCCCCGGCCAGCTTCTGTGATTGCCACATGGCGCACACGGCCCCCTGGGGCCTCCCCGCCGTCACCATCGACTGCCAGGGGCGGGAGTTGCTCAGCGCCGACTTGGAGGACCTCTTGCTCCCCGTGGCCGCCGAGGAGCTCACGCTGGCGTGGAACAATCTCACCAGCGCACCCACATTGTCCGCCAACCAGCACCTTCGCACTCTCACTCTCGCGCACAACGCCATCGCCTCCGTCGAGGGGGCGCCGTTCGCCCGGCTGCCCAACCTGCGCCTGCTGGACCTCAGCTCCAACGACATCGCCACGCTCAGCGACGACGCCTTCGAGGGCCTGCCGCACCTGGAGCACCTGAGCCTCGCCCGAAACCGGCTCAAGGGTCTGCCCAGCAACGTCTTCAGCGGCCTCTTCGTCCTCGGCCACCTCAGCCTCTCCGAGAATCCGCTGGCGGACTTTCTCTCGCAGGTGAGACACACTCGGCGCTTATCGCTGGCAAACACACTGATAACAACTCGGCGCGGATAATGAATGGCGAGTGAGGCGCGGAAGTGCGAAATGCGAGTTAGTCAATCACATTCTGCGGAAATTTGTGACTTGGCCTCTTTTGAAAAGCACACGAAAGACGACAAAAGTGTGCTTAAGAAAATATTTTGGTTTTCTTCCAGGAAAACCTCTTCAGCTACACTGGCATCACGAGAGACCTGAAGACTCTCCAAGTGGCGAAATGTAACCTAAGCAAGATTCACCTGGACGAGGATTGGCCCGTATCGAAGCTAGTGCTGAGCTCCAATCTCTTCCAGGGCGTTCCGGACATTCCCATTTCCGTGCGCAGCCTCGATTTTGGCGGCAACCTGCTGAAGCGCATTGAGCCGGACACTTTCCCGCCCCTGCCAGAACTGGAGGAGCTTCAGCTGGACAACATGAGGCTTCTGAAGACCGTCAAAGCAGACGCCTTCCTGTCTGTGTCCAGCAAACTCCGTCGCCTGAGCCTCGAGGGCTGTCGCAATCTCACCGCCTTCGATGTCTTCGCTCTGGGCAACAGCACGCGCGACGAGTATCCGCTGCCGCTCCAGGAGGTGAGTCTGCGCGGCTGTCGCCTGCGGAAGATCCCTGCGATCACGTTCAGCCGCGCCGAGAACCTCACAAGAGTGCAGCTGGCGGGAAATCCGCTCACGTGCGATTGCGACGTGGAGTGGATTCACGATCTCGATCACGACACGGGCGCGCAGTGTGGCCTTCCGGTGATCCTGCGCGGCACGCTGATCGCGGAGCTGGACATGGAGCAGTTCCACTGTGACACGGTGAAGTCGTGGTTCTACAACATCCTCAACGGACTCATCGTGTTCGTGCTGCTGTGCGTGTGCGGCGTGGCCATCTACTTCATTGTCATGCGCCTGAAACCGTCCCGACGCCACGCGGTGCAGAAGCTGGCCATGGCCAGTCCCTACGCCAGAGTCACGATCCAGCCCAACCGCGCCGAGCACCTCTGATTCCTCTCTTGTCCGCTGAGAAGTCCAATAAAATGCACGCGAAGTAGAAATTGCCTTTTTGGCGCCCACCATCCGAGACACACATCGCCACTCATCGACTCTATCCCGGACACATTTCCCATCACTTAACCCTTCAGTGCGCAAAGCCACCAATCTTCACTTCAGTATTTTATTCTCCTTTGCATTTACTCTCTCCAAAATAATTCCACAATTGCTCACAATTACACAGTAAATTTAGAATATCTCTAGTTATAATGTTCATAAACAAAGAATGACCTCATAATTCAACTATTCAGCAATTCCACCACTTTATCCAATTCCTAAGGACTCACAGAAGCAGAACAGAGAAGGACATCCAGCCAACAACGCCCAGAATCGCATGTCGTATCACAGTTCACTTGCCATTCTTGGCGCCGCCGTCGAAGAATGGCGGCCGCAGCATGTCGCCGCCGCCGTACATGTACGACAGCAGGTACGGATTCATGTTCATCTCCGCCAGGTTGGCTATCGACAGCCCCGGCGGCAGCTGCGGGAAGTTGAGCGCCGGATGCGCGGCCGGCGGCACGAAGGCCGGCAGTGGCGGCAGGAAGTTTCCGGGCGGCATCATTGGTGGCACGAAAGAGATCATGAGATTGGGATTGGTCAGCGCCGGATAGTTGGGCACCAGCGGCGCGCCGCTGTGACTCTTGCCCGCCGCGGCGGGCTTCTTCGCCGTCAAGTCCAGCACCTCCGTCGAGCTGCCACTCGGCGCAGTCGCGCGCGACACATTCTCCTTGGGATTCCCGAAGATCTTGCCGGACTGCGTGAACATGCACTTGGACTGGAACTTGGGGATGTTCTCCACTTTTCGGAACACACTCTGCTCCGCCGGCGGCGCGAGGCGCGGCTGCTTCAGTGGCTGCGGATCCTTCGACCGAATTGGCGTCACCTCCAGCCCACCTTCGCGCAAAATGTCCAACTTCCTCTTGCGAATCGGCGGGAACATGGCACTAATCCTCGTGTTCATCAGCTCCTCGTCACTGTCGCCGCGCAAATCAATCGTCGGCACATTCTCTGGGAACTTCCGCCCATTGGACTTGAGCCGGATGTGCCGCAGCGAGCCGCCTTTGGCGTCCGCCGCGTCGCCAGCGTCAGCACCCTTGGCGCCCTTCGGCAGTGTTATCTGCTGTATCTTGATCTCATTGGTGATCTGGATCTGATTGGTGATCTGACTGCTGCTCTTCGTCGCACTGCCACTCCCGGACACCTGCGGATGAATGGTCGTCTGGTGCACCGTGATGGTCGTGCGCGGCTGCTGTATTTGGATCTGCTGCGACGACGTTGTGGTCTGCAAAATAAACACAAACACACATCAGCCACCATTGACAAACATCCACAAATCACTCTGCATCTCACCTCTTCGTGGCCAGGCGACGATCCCACAATGACAGTCACCGGCACGGAAACCTGCATCTTCTGCCTCTCCTTCTCGTGCTGCTTCAACTCCTTGGCCTTCACCTTGTTCTGAATCTCCGTCATCTGCTCGCGACTCAGCTCCGGCTCCATCTTCTCCACCTTGATGGCCTTCTGCTGCCCACCAATCTGCCCATTCGCCACATCCTCCGCAAACTCCCGCTCCTTCTTGCACGCCTCCTCGGCCTCCTGAACACTGCGCTGGTGCAACTCAAACGGCAACAGCACCTTCTCATACTTCTTATGCGTCAATCCCGGACTGTTGCGCTTCAGCGCCTTCCACAGCCGATTCACGCTCACCGTCTCGTAGCCGCCGAACTCCTGCACTCTCGTGTAGATATCGTACAGATTCACTGAGGAAGGAAAAGTGGCAATTAGCAAGAAAAGAACTGGACTACGCCTTGAGCGTCCAGCTGTGCAATTTCTCATGACAATCATTAAGAATTTATATGGACTGAAATCCATATTCTCCTATCAATTACAAACTTTTACTCAATCTACAGAATAAGATTTTATAATTATGATGTCTTTCATTAATTCTCTCAGAGATACTCAGTTAAATTTAATAGAGAAAATTGCTCCCTCGCGTGATAAATCGGTGTTCAATGAGATTCACCGTAAGAATTCTCTTCTTACGAAACAACAGAAAAAGCACTACAAATACAGAAAATGTTGTAATGCAGCGCAACTTGAAGCTTTCACGGACAAATGCAAATACTCTCAAGTTTCTCTCTTTCTCTCAGATTTCAAACGTTGAATTTTCCGCACTCAAATCACATTTCCCACCCGCAATTTAAATTAGAGACAATCAATTCTGTGCGCAGATGTACTTATCAGAGGCGATAACACGGTCTCGACAATCTAATCGGGCACTGAATAAAATGGGATTTCATGAGCCACAAAAGCGCCCATCTTTTCCCCACCCAGTGCGTGCAGAAGACATAATCAAATGTGTTGTCAGTTTATCACGGTGCTCGAGTGTATTATCGGCCACTTTATGTCTTCTCATGCGCAAAACCGTGTGAAGCCCACAAAAGTTGATATTCATGAGTGTGGGCAAAAGTGCAAATATAAATTCAATTAATCCCATATTTCGACCGATTTTCCTCAGCACACGCGTTTACAAATACACACACTCTATATGGACTCTCACCTCGCCTCAAGCTCAGCCACATAACCTTGGGTATCGGTGTCTTCCTCTCCACCATGAATTGATGCAGATCCGTGAGGAATTTCCTCTCGCTCTCCTTCTTCGCCTTCATCTTCTCCTCACTCATTTCACCCTCGTTCTCTGGCGCTTCCGTGCTCTGCTCCGTTTTCAGGCGCACCCTTTGACTCCTCTGGCTGTACCTCAGGTGCTGCACCTCCAGCTTGGCCTTTGCGAAACTCTGCGGAGGAGGAGACATGATTAGTGCATCACTTCGCAGCTGTAAAGTGCGTAGCGAGAAACGCTCAAGTGCAAAAGTGTTTCAATCTCTGATCTGCCCTATAAAATGCAAATTTCACACTTTAAGCGATGTCCGGTGACTTTCGGTGGAAAAATGACAATCAGTTTTAGCTTGAAAAAAGCTCAAGTTATCAATGTTATTTCAATAATTCTAAGACATTTCGTCCGGAAATCCCATAGAAAGTCTATGGAAATTCCCACAGAATTGCATAAGAATGTCATTTACACACAAAATCTCTCCTTTCACTTTGCACCCCAGCGATAATCCCTCAAATATCTTCTCACCATCTTCGACGAACAACTCGAAGACTCCGACTCGGCCGCAGATTCCGTGTCCGTGGAGTCTCCATACTTCCCGTGAGTCTCGGACGCTGTCTTCTTCCTTCGGCCACGCGGTCTTCCCTTGAATTTCGGCGCCAGATGATTGCACAGCAGCTCGTGTGCATCCAGCTCGGGATAGTCAAAGGTCTCCTTGCAGAACATGATGCGACTGCACGTGGCCTCGACTGCACTGCCGCCCAGAGCGTCCACCACTGTGCTCTTCAGCCAGTCCTCCATGTTCTCCATGCGCTTCATCAGCGCCCTGAAGCGGCAGTACTTGGAGAAGCTGATCACCGACACGCGCTCCGCGGTGCCAGAGCCAATCCTGAAGCCCCAATTCCACTCCAAGCCGGCGTCCAGCCACGACAGCAGATCATCCGCCTTGATCACCACGCGATCCGAAATGGCCACCACCTCGTCCTCGCCGTGTCCGTGGCGCCCCAGCGGCGTGTTCTCGGGCAAGAAGTACAGACGCAGGCCGATCAGCAGGCACTGCTCGCTCTTGTCGCGCCACACCATTCGGATCTCCGCCAGGCACGCGATGGCCTGATCGCTCCACGGACGCACGGGGATGCAGTCGCCCAGTCGCAGCACCGTTATTCGGCGGTTCTCCTCGCTCAGCTCGCGGCGCGGCGCATTCTTCCGCCGCGCGGACGTGTTGTTGTTGTGCGGCCCCTTCTGGGGCGTGTCGTGCGGCAGGATGAACGTGGGCGAGCTGGAGCCCGACGCGGGCGACGCTGCGTCGCCGGATGGCACGAAAGAGACGATTTGCACCTGACTGTAGAAGGTGTAGGGTCCATGGTAGGCGCTCGGTGGTCCAAAAGCCTGCAATAGAGAGTTTCACGTTTAAAAAATGTGAATAAATTCGGGAAAATATTCAATCTGAAACTATCTGAATATTCTAATGAAAGGAGAAATGCATATCGATAATCCCAATTTGCCCGTATTTCTCCTAAATCGCAAAAACGTGCTTGCTAATGAGAAAATCATCCGAAACAGTTCCAAAATAGCATTATCAGGCAAATTTGAGTGAACAAATATTAACTCTGTGGCAGGAAAGAGTATTTTCCCACTCATTTCGTGCCTCAATGAAGAGCTTTATCAATTTAATTGTATGATAAACTTGCAAAGTGTTTTATCACAGTAACTGATAAAACTCTATCAACAAGCGAGCAAATAATAGCAAAACATTTCTCAGACATTTCTCAAACTGATTCCTCAAATATATAACACCCAAAACTTTTGCTAATCCATTTCATGCACACAGATAAATCATCGTTCAACAATAGCTGAAAGAATGTTGAAAATTTTGGGGGAAAGCAACAGAAAATTGAATGCAAAAATTCACACTGTAGATTGAAAGTGGTAAAATTTTTCGGAATTCTGAAGAACGAACAAAAATAGACCAAATCGATTTCACTCAATTCAATATCATCATCATTATGCGCATTTTGCGCTTCAATCGCACAGGTTATAAGAACACATAGAACATGTTAAATGCTTTGCATTCGATTCAGATTCAGCGATTAAGCGCAATGGGACAAATAAAGAGTTAAATATCCCCTATTTTAATAATTGACAAACTGCTTTTTCACCATTCGACCAAAGCCACTCGATCATACAATTGACAACTCAACACACTCTTCTTGTTGTCAACAACTGATACGACTTAACAGTTGCATGTGAAACTAATGCAGCTTATCACGAAATCAGGAAGAATTTAACGACAGCCTCGAATGTCATTTGCTCAGCGACTTAAAAACACATTCATTTATGTGACACAAAAGCCGTAAGTCATAAATATCAAGTATTATGTGCAGAAAAAGAGTC